CTAGCKGGATTAAAATGGACTAACGGACTAACTTTGGGTTCTTCAAACTGATCCTGTCAAAAATGGTTTTTTTCCTACACTTTTGCAACTTCCAGTGTGTCAGAATGTCCTTCCTATTATTCCATTCCATGCTGAAGGCAAAGTGCCATCWGTACAGATGTGGCACACAAGGTATCACTGCACTAAGGAGTCTTACTTTTGCTGACCGAAGTRCTTTTTTGTAACCTCAGACTGACAGAGTGAGTACAGTAAGGCAGGCTCAGGCACGAGCTAATATGACATAAACTCAAACTTTTGCTGAAGGATGCATCAGCTGCAGAGAGAAAGGCTGACAGAGCTCCACGTATTTACATATATTCTGACACTACTGTACTGTATATAAGCAGTTACATAACTTGTTTGTCTTTAAACRGTCACCAGTAGAATATAATTGTCAATTTTTTTATGAACTGAATTGTTATGGGTTCAATTTTTTAATATATAAATATTATTTAGAAGTCATTTTGAAAACTGAACAAGGGCTTAATTTAAAAACCGACAATGAACTGCTGCTCAACAATTGGGTRTATTTTATTTTGGCAGCAATTATCCACGTTATTTTACAGTCTCACATAAACCTTTCTAAAAGTTCTAATTGGAAAAGCAAAATAAATAAATAAATAAATACTGGGGCAAAAACACAAGTGCAGCTTTTCAAAAAGAAAAAAATAATAAGTAGGTCCTCTGGATGGGTTCTTCTTTAGTGAAATGTTTCATCTCTCCTCCAAGAGACTTCTTCAGTCTGATGAGTTTCAGGTGATCTCAGCCTTATAAGCACTGCCTCCACATGGTGGACAAACAGGTTAGTCACATGCAAAAGAGGGCCATCRCCTAACAATAGGCTTGATTAGCTCTATTGTTCATAGAGGATCATGTGCCCCATCACCTGGCTTATTGGTTTGGATGCTTCGGCTGTGGTTATTTGGTGTTTTGTTATGTGTATGTAGTGAATGCAAGCGGGGTTCAATGTCCCCTTGTTTTTGTCTCTCTTTCCCTCTTTGTGTTGGTATCGTTGGGGCCCTGATTCACACCTTTTGCTCACAGGGGGCTGAGTCATACTTGCAATAACAGCATTGTAGGAGGAGGACAACTGGACACGAAGGCCTCCACCTCTGTTTAATRGTGGAYGGTTTTTCTTCACAAAGATGGCTTCYTTTACTCCTCTCTCAAACCAACGTTCCTCTCAATCAAGGATGAGAACATCTTCATCCCTGAAAGAGTGACCGCTGGCCTGTAGATGAGTGTAAACTGCAGAGTCCTGACCTGTAGATGAGTGTAAGCTGCAGAGTTCTGACCTGTAGATGAGTGTAAACTGCAGAGTCCTGACCCGATGATGTAGCTCGTCTGTGTTGGCTCATTCTTTTGAACAGTGGCTGTTTTGTTTCCCCAATGTACAACTGATCACAGTCCTCCTGACACTTAACAGCATATACTATATTACTCTGTTTTTGCCAGGAGAACTAGATCTTTGGGGTGAAGTAATCTTTGTCATCACCTGTTTTTGGGGTAAGAAAGCCACTGAGACGTCATGTTTAGAGAATAAATGTCTCAGTTTCTCTGAAACTCCCGCCACATATGGAATGAAAGAAGAAAAGAAGAAGAACCCATCCAGAGGACCTACTTATTTTTTTTTCTTTTTGATTTTTTTCTACCTGGATTACTGAGATGCATCAGGACAARTGCAGCTTTTATTTATTTTTTTATTTCATTTTATTTTTACACACAAAGTTGTGCATTTTTCCAAATTTTAAACTTGAAAACTACACAATTTGGAAAAGAATTTGCACCGACCATCTTCCCAATGTAAACAATCGCTTTCCGTTTGTCTGCCAACGCACACAATAACGGACTAAAGGTTTGGGTATACAGTACTTGACAAGACGCAAGACATCGGATCTCGCTGATGTAATTGTGAGATGGTCTTTTGGACAGTTCACACTCATTGAGAAATGTGTACAAGAAGCCCTGRTAAGCTTTACCACTGCAGCACTAGCACACGCCACAGAGGATGTTTATTTTTAGCTGATGATGGTGAAGTTGGTAGAARACAAAGGTACATCAGCGAGACACACTGCTCACTTCTCATGGACCATAAACTGGCATAAAAACTTCTGTTCATTTTGTCTTTACACCTGCCACCTTTAAAGGATTTTAAGAASCCTATACAGTTTTACTAAATAATGTTTATGGGACTGTGTAGTAGTAGGAATAGTATTTAAGATATTTAAAATAAAGTACCTCAAGTAATACAACTAATATAACTATTCCTGCTGTTAAATTAGTTGGGGCATTGCAATATGTGGAAATATTTTGTTATAAAAAACATATAGAATTACAATGTTTTTTGAATGTAAGAGGATTTAAATAGGTGTTTTAGGATCCAACTCTCTTCTACTGTAAATATTCAAAAGAAAATTATGAAATAAAACATGAAATACAATTAAACCTATTTCAAAAGTTGGCATGCAAAGTTGCAACAACAATAAAAACGTCTAATCTAATCATGTGAACAACTGTTGAACAGGAAGACTAATTTTAAGTATCAGCTGTCTGGTGGTTTCACCTGGATTATGAGGTCGATCYAAACCTGCATCCCATCATACGGCTCCATAACAACAGGCTTAAAGGGCCGGCTGACACTGCTGACATGAACCAGCCTGTTCAGCCGAGTACAAATGACAACAAGGCAACTCATTTGGGAAACTCAATAATAAAGTCTGGGTTGTCTTTTCTGTCTTGTTTGTTTGAAGCTAATTAAACCCACAGGTATGAAAAATTGTATTTTCTTCAAATTTCAGTAAAGAGTTAGTCAAACATCTGCTGCCAGCTGACTCGAGTTATGGCAAATACAAAACAGCCTAAATAGTTAACTTTCTGTAATGCACATCTCATAACATCCAATTTGTAGGAAAAAAACACTTCAATTACCTATTATATATTCACACTCTTTTTTMTTTTATATTGTATTGTACTTGCTTTTTTCCATCTTTGTTCCATTTAATAATCTAATAAAATGTAAATGAACTACTCTTTGTTCTAAACACACATTTAACCTAGAAAARAATCTTTATTCATGGATGTACTCTTGCATGCACGCATGCACAATGTGTCAATTAGAAAAAAACATGATTAATTTTGTGGTTAAAAACAAAAAATCTCTCAGGAATAACTTCATCTTTGACTTTGCTTTGTCTGTCTGTTTATATGCATCCACTGAGCTTTTTCCTTGACCCCCTTTAACCTTAAAAGAACAAGCACAAACATTTATTTTCAATAATTACCCAATTTTTAGTCTCCAAAGTGCATGGAATGATATTATTCATTTGTTTATACTTCATTTTATAGTCTTAACATAATTCTTGATGTCAAGAAATAGGTCTTTAAATTACCATCAAAAACCTTAATTAACTAAATAAGGCAAAAAAGAAAAGTACAGTAAGTGATGACTTGGTAAAATACTTTTTGGTCTTTTTTTTTTTCGTTTGTTTGCTTTAAAAACAGATGGGAAATGGG